ACTATTCCTTGCCCCCCCACTGACAACGATGGGGCACTATTCCACCCCCCACTGACACCAATGATGGGATACTATTCCTCCCACTGACACCAATGTTGGGACACTATTCCTCCCACTGACACCAATGTTGGGACACTATTCCCCCCACTGATACTAATGATGGGGCACTATTCCCCCCACTGATACTAATGATGGGGCACTATTCCTCCCACTGACACCAAAGATGGGACACTATTCCCCCCACTGATACTAATGATGGGGCACTATTCCTCCCACTGACACCAATGATGGGTTGCTATTCCTCCCACTGACACCAATGATGGGGCACGATTCGTTGCTCTGACACCAATGATGGGGCACTATTCCTCCCACTAATACCAATGATGGGGCACTATTCTTCCCACTAATACCAATGATGGGGCACTATTCCTCCCACTAATACCAATGATAGGGCACTATTCCTCTCAGCAATAGTAATGATGGGGAACTATTCCTCCCACTAATACCAATGATGGGGCACTATTCCTCCCACTAATACCAATGATGGGGCACTATTCCTTCCACTGACACCAATGATGGGGCACTATTTCTCCCACTAATATCAATGATGGGGCACTATTCCTCCCACTAATACCAAGGATGGGACACTATTCCTCCCACTAATACCAATGATGGGGCACTATTCCTCCCACTAATACCAATGATGGGACACTATTCCTCCTACTGACATCAATGATGGGGCACGATTCTTCCCACTGGTGTGCATTGGAAGAGGGGTAGTCTTATACAGTGAGTATAGCCCAAACACTATATTTTAACAGGAAAAGTAGGGGGTCATCTTATATGCCCTGTCGTCTTATACGCCGGAAAATACAGTAGTTACATCGTTAGTCTGGCTGAAAAAAGACAAAAGTACATCCAATTCAACCATAGAAAAATAAAAGTTATAATCCTATACCCACAGTTGATCCAGGGCAGTGTTTTCTCAACTCCAGTCCTCATGGACCCCCAACAGGTCTTGTTTTCAGGATTTCCCTCAGATGAAACAGCTGTGGTAATTACTAAGGTAGTGAAACTGATCAAATCACCTGTGCAAAATAATGGAAATCCTGAAAACATGACCTGTTGGGGGTCCATGAGGACTGGAGTTGAGAAACACTGATCCAGGGGAAGGCAAATAAACCCCCCAGCAAAGCATGATCCAATTTGCTCCTGCAGGGAAATAAATTCCTTCCTGATCCCCGGATATTCCCTGGATCAACTTTACCTATAAATGTTAGTATCCAGTTATATTCTGTGTATCCAAGAAAGAATCCAGGACTTTGTTAAAGCAATCCGCTGAGCTGGCCAGAACCAACTCTTGAGGGAGTCTATTCCACATTTTCACAGCTCTTACTGTGAAGAAACCTTTCTGTGTTTCGTAAAGAGTAAAAGTAAAAAATGTAAAGCGTGCCCCCTTGTCCTCTGTGATGACCTCAGGGTGAATAGCTCTACACCGAGTTGACTATATGAACCACTGATGTATTTATACATGTTGATCATATCCCCCCTTAATCTCCTCTTCTCAAGAGAGAATAAATTCAGTTCCTCTAATCTTTCCTCCATGCCTCGTATTAGTTTGTCTACCCTTTCTGTACTTTCTCCAGTTCTCCAATGTTCTTTTTGTGAATTGGTGCCAAAAACTGAACTGCATATTCCAGATGAGGTCTTACTAATGATTTGTACAGGGGTAATATGATATCTCTCTCTCTGGAGTCTATACCCCTTTTAATACAAGAGAGGATTTTGCTCACTTTACAAACCGCAGCTTGGCATTGCATGTCATTATTAAGCTTGTGATCTACCAGAACTCCCAGATCCTTCTCCAACATTGATTCCCCCAGTTGTACCCCCCCTAGTATGTATGATGCATGCATATTCTTAGTCCCCACGTGCATAACCTTACACTTATCAACATTAAACCTCATTTGCCACATAGTTGCCCAAGTTGCCCAATCTTTTGAACTAGCACAGTGTATACAGTCCTCCACTCACTCCAACGGGAATACCTTAGACCTTGTCTTCTCTCACCACTGTACTCCCTATAACCTCACAAACACCCCCTTTCCCCTCTCTGATCACAATCCCATCACCTTCACAGTCTCCTCGTCCTCTAACACCTTTCCCACCAAACAGCAAACAATTACCAGCAGAAATCTCCGAAACCTAAACCCGGCTCCCTTCCACTCTGCAACTGACGAACTTTATGACAGCATCAACCCCCTGTCCTGCCCCGACCTGGCCACCGCTGTCTGCAACAACTCGCTTTCATCCGCTCTAGACTCGCTTTCTCCCCTAACAACACAAAGCATCAGGTCCCGACCTCTACAACCTTGGCAGACCAGCCACACCTGGAATCTCAAACGACACAGTCGCACGCTGGAGCGATTATGGCGTAAAACCAAATCCCACCAAGCGTTCACCCGTTATAAATCTGCCTTCCTAACATACACTTCCTCCCTTCACGCTGCCAAACAAGCCTACTTTGTCACTCTCATCAATACCTTCTCTTTGAGTCCTCGTCGGCTCTTCTCTACCTTTAACTCTCTGCTTTCTCTGCCCCGACCGTCACCCAGCGTCTCACTCACTGCCCACGAGATTGCAAACCACTTCCAAAACAAGATTGACGCAATTCGTAGGGACATCGCCACTACACAGACACCCACCCCACTAAGCTTTCCTCATTCCATACCTCCCTCAACACTCTCCTCCTTTGACCTCGCTACCACCGAAGAGGTCCTCAGGGTCTTCTCAGAAGCCCGCCTTACCACCTGCCCCCTGGACCCTGTCCCCTCACAACTCCTTCGGTCACCCTCCTCCTCCATCCTGTGCTGCCTCACTCACATCTTCAATCTTTCCCTCTCTTCAGGTGCCTACCCCTCCCCTCTAAAGCATGCGCACATCACTCCCATACTTAAAAAACCCTCCCTGGACCCCACCAGCCTGAACAACCTAAGGAGATGGAGACCCATCTCCCTGCTGCCATTTACCTCTAAACTCCTAGAATGCTTAGTCTACAATCGTCTGAGCTCCCACCTCACTGACAACAACCTTCTCGACCCTTTACAGTCTCGCTTTCGCCCTCTACACTCCACTGAAACTGCCCTACTAAAAAACTCTCTAATGACCTACTAACTGCAAAAACCAACGGCCACTATTCAATACTCCTACTACTCGACCTCTCCTTGGCTTTTGACACTGTTGACCATCCCCTCCTCCTCAAAAAACTTCACTCTCTTGGCCTCAGAGACTCTGCTCTCTCCTGGTTCTCCTCCTATCTATCGCAGCGCTCCTTCAGTGTTGCCTATAACACTGCCACCTCCTCTTCACTCCCTCTCTCTGTAGGGGTCCCTCAAGGTTCTGTCCTTGGACCCCTTCTCTTCTCCATCTACACCTCCTCCCTTGGTCACTTGATAAACTCCCACAGCTTCAATTACCATGTGTCAGGGCTCTGGGGTGTGACCAGAGGTATGTGACTGACGCAGGGAAACGCAGGCTTCAGATAAGTTATAAACAATATAATTTATTAAAGACTAACAATACAAACATAAACGCAGTGCAATACTAAAACATAACAGTGCAAACGAACCAAACCACCCTCAGATAACAGTACATACAATGCAAGCGTTGTCAGGCAGGCCGGGTCAATAACAATCGGGCAGGTAGGTACAGGGGGTCAGGCAGAGAATGGTCAGGGTCACAAGCCAGGGATGAAACAGGAGAAGTCAGCAGAGGTCCGGATCAGGCAGGGTCAGCAACGAATCAGACAGAGACAGGGACAGGAACAGGAATGCAGGAACAAGATACAGGGCCCAGGAAAAACACACACACCAAGGCAGAGACTGCAGGTCTGGCCATCCCTTAAATACACCTGTATAATCAACTTCAGGTGTTTGGCTGGCTGCAGGGTTGAGTCTCTGATTACTGGGAGCACCCGCTGGCCAGCCCTGGTACTGCAGCCCACAAGGCAGGTGAGTCCCACCATTACTGGCAAGTCCATTCCTGACAGTACCCCCCCCCCCAAGGAGCGGCCTCAGGACGCTCCAAACAGTCCTAGCTGGGCAAAATGTTCCACCGCCGGGTCTGGTAACTGGCGGGATATCAAAGACTGGCACATCGGACAGGACTCCGGGCAGCGGCACATCGGGCTGGACTCCAGGCAGCGGCACATCGGGCTGGACTCCAGGCAGCGGGCAAATCGGGCTGGACTTCCAGGCAGCGGCACATCGAGCTGGACTCCAGGCAGCGGCACATCGGGCTGGACTCCAGGCAGCGGCACATCGAGCTGCACACCGGATCACCAGGCACCGGGCCCCCAGGCGGAGCAGCAGGCACCGGGCCCCCCGGAAGCAGCAGGCGCCGGCAGAGCAGGTGCCGGACCCCCAGGCAGAGATGCGGGCGCCGGACCCCCAGGCGGGGCGGCAGGCGCCGGGCCCTTAGGCGGGGCGGCAGCCCCCATCGGGGCGACCCCAGGCCCCCAGGGGGCGACAGGCACCGGGCCCCCAGGCGGGGCGACAGGCACCGGGCCCCAGGGGGCGACAGGCACATCGGGCCCCCATCGGGGCGACAGGCACCGGGCCCCCCGGAGGGGCAACAGGCATCGGCCCCCAGGCGGAGCGACGGGCATCGGGCCCCCAGGCGGAGCGGCGGGGGTCATCAGGCACGACAACGGGCATCGGGTCACCAGGCATCAGGTCATTTGGCTCGACAGCGGGCACCGCGTCATCTGGCAAGGCAGGGGCACCGAGTCACCAGGCACGACAGTGGGTTCCGAGTCAACTGGCATGACCACGGGCACTGGGTCAGACATTGGATTGTCTGGCTCGACAGGCATCGGGTCACCAGGCATCAGGTCATTTGGCTCGACAGCGGGCACCGCGTCATCTGGCAAGGCAGTGGGCACCGAGTCACCAGGCACGACAGTGGGTTCCGAGTCAACTGGCTTGACCACGGGCACTGGGTCAGACATTGGATCGTCTGGCTCGACAGCGGGCATCGGGTCACCAGGCATCAGGTCATTTGGCTCGACAGCGGGCACCGCGTCATCTGGCAAGGCAGTGGGCACCGAGTCACCAGGCACGACAGTGGGCTCTGAGTCAATTGGCACGACAGCGGGCACCGGTCATCAGGTACCAGATCGTCTGGATTGCCAGCGGGCACCGGCCATCTGGCGTTGGATCGTCTGGCTCGACAGCGGGCATCGGGTCACCAGGCATGACAGCGGGCACTGGTTCATCAGGCATTGGGCTGCTCGACAGCAGGCATCGGGTCACCAGGCATGACATCTGGCATCAGGCATTGGATCGTCTGGCTCGACAGCGGGCATCGGGTCACCAGGCATGACAGCGGGCACTGGTTCATCAGGCATTGGATCGTCTGGCTCGACAGCAGGCATCGGGTCACCAGGTATGACCGCGGGCACTGGATCATCAGGCATTGGATCGTCTGCTCGACAGCGGGCATCGGGTCACCAGGCATGACAGTGGCACCGTGGGTCATCAGCTACCGGGAACGTCTGGCTCGACAGCGGGCACTGGGTCATCAGGCGTGATAGGATCATCAGGCTGGATCAGTTCATCAGGCTGGGTACAGGCATCAGGCTGGGTACAGGCATCAGGCTGGGTACAGGCATCAGGCTGAAGTGCGGGTGCCGAGGCACCAGGCTGAACCACGGAAGGCAGGTTCTCAGGCGGCAGGCTCACCGGTTTGGATCGGCAGGATGGGCATCTGGTTGGAAAGAATTTTCCGCTTTTTTCTGGTTTTAAACTACTGTGTCAGGATCAAGGAGTGACCAGAAAGGTGTGGACTGACACAGGGGAAAACGCAGGTTTCAGGTATAGTATAATACAGGTTATTATTAGCCACCCAGATATACATATATATATATATATAAACGCACAGTGAGTCAAACAACCTTCCACTAATCTTGGAGGTGCGGGCACAGGCCGTAGTCAGGGCTGGAGAGGTGGAATGGTCGGGCCGGCCGTAGGGTTCTGTAACGACAGGCCTGGTGGTACCTCTAGCGGTCCTCAGGGCAGGATTCCCCAGGGCGCGGAGTCTAAGTCCCAGTCTGCTATTCACCAGGGCTGATGGTGGGGATGGACTTGGAGCAGACAGGAACAGGTCGCGGCCCCTGAGTACACCTGCTAGTGATAGAGGGATCCGCCAGAGGTCATGTGCAGGTACAGCTGGATCCGTGCAGGATGGCATGGATGGCAGAGTAGTGAGCGTGGTCAGACGGGCCAAGTCAGCAACGTGCGGGCAGCAAGGTATCAAAGGAGCAGGCAGAGAATGGTCAAGGTCACAAGCCGGGTTCAGTAATCACGGACAGCGCAGGTCAGAGGATCAGGCTGGATGGTCAGGGATTCATCAGAACAGGAGACGGTCAACAGGAATCAGAATCAGGCTGGGTCGGCAACAAGGCTTCTCACAGGAACAGGATACAGGGGCTCATGGGGAAACATACACCAAGGCTGAAGCACAGGCCTGGTCATGCCTTATATACACCTTTCTGTAATCAGCCCCAGGTTTGACTGATTGTGAGCTTCTGGCTGCAAAGAGCACCGCTGGTCAGCTCTGGTACTGCAGCCCACACGGCAGGAGAGTCCCCCACCACCAGTGCTTTGGCACCCGCTGGTCAGCTCTGGTACTGCAGGCCCACACGGCAGGAGAGTCCCACCACCAGTGCTGAGAGCACCCGCTGGTCAGCTCTGGTTGCAGCCCACACGGCAGGGAGAGTCCCACCACCAGTGCTGAATCCATTCCTGACATACTGGGGCACTGCAAGTAAACGCAGGTCTGCAAACGAATGGAGCAGCTGAGGACAGAGAAGAGCTGGAAGATGGAACAGAGGAGGGGAGCAGTTGCTACAGAGGATTTCTTTACAGGGTTAAAGAAAGGATAGGTGCAGCGAGTGGGAGCAGAGGACTGGTATGTGGTAGTTAGAGTATACTGGGCAGTCACTGGGGGTGCTGTCGGGGATGCAGGAAGAGTGCCTTGAGTGGAGGAATGATGTTGTAAGCTGACTGAGGCTGGGTGCAACAAGTCTGACCATGTCTGCAGTATGGGTTGAACAAAGCTCAGTTTACACAAAGCCTGTCTGGTCAATGACTGCACTGCGTTTATACAATCTCTTAGTACCTGTGGTGAACATGCAGAATAACGCTCCAGAAAGTAATCCACATCATCCTCTAATAACCATACCAGGGACTCTACCTGGTTGGCACTAAATGGCGGCAAAAATTCATTCCTGCATTCGGGGGTACCAGATGAAACCAACTCAGCACAAACCTGAATCAATGGCTGCACCTCAGAGAACTCTGTGCCCTGATCTACTAGGCAATGAGCGATCCGTATACATTCTAGCAGTTCATCCCGGGGATACTCCTTCAGAGTCTGATAAGCATACTCTCTGTCATCAAACACTAGCAGAGATAAATACACAACCTCATCAAGATTCATCCTTCCCAGCAACAAGCCAAGATGGCTTCCCTGTGCAGCCACTTCTGGTCAGGATTGGCCTTGGTGTAATGTCAGGGCTCCGGGGTGTGACCAGAGGTATGTGACTGACGCAGGGAAACGCAGGCTTCAGATAAGTTATAAACAATATAATTTATTAAAGACTAACAATACAAACATAAATGCAGTGCAATACTAAAACATAACACAGTGCAAACGAACCAAACAGTACATACAATGCAAGCCTCGTCAGGCAGGCCGGGTCAATAACAATCGGGCAGGTAGGTACAGGGGGTCAGGCAGAGAATGGTCGGGGTCACAATCCAGGGATGAAACAGGAGAAGTCAGCAGAGGTCCGGATCAGGCAGGGTCAGCAATGAATCAGACAGGGACAGGAATGCAGGAACAAGATACAGGGCCCAGGAAAAACACACACCAAGGCAGAGACTGCAGGTCTGGCCATCCCTTAAATACACCTGTATAATCAACTTCAAGTGTTTGGCTGGCTGCAGGGTTGAGTCTCTGATTGCTGGGAGCACCCGCTGGCCAGCCCTGGTACTGCAGCCCACAAGGCAGGTGAGTCCCACCATTACTGGCAAGTCCATTCCTGACACCATGTCTATGCTGATGACACACAAATCTATCTCTCTACCCCTCACCTCACCTCTTCAGTCTCCACTCGCATCACTAGCCTACTAAGTGACATATCGGCTTGGATGTCACTCCACTTCCTCAAACTCAACCTTTCCAAAACTGAGCTCCTAGTATTTCCCCCTGCCCGTGCCACCTCCACTGACTTCACCATAAATATCGATAACACAAACATCAGTCCCTCCCCTCATGCCAGGGTACTAGGTGTAATCCTAGACTCCCATCTGTCCTTCCAGCTCCAGATCCAATCGCTGACAAAATCATGTAGACTTCACCTCCGCAACATCTCCAAGATACGACCGTTCCTAACCCCGGAAACCACTAAGCAACTAATTCACTCCCTTGTCATATCACGCCTCGACTATTTTAACTCCCTCCTCATTGGCCTACCTCATCACAGGCTATCCCCTCTTCAGTCTATCATGAACGCTGCTGCCTGACTCATCCACCTCACTAACCGCTCTGAATCTGCCACCCCTCTCTTCCAATCCCTCCACTGGCTCCCAGTTGCCCAACAGATAAAATTCAAAACACTAACTATGACATACAAAGCCATCCACAACACTGCCCCAATTTACATATCCGATATTATCTCTAAATATCACCCAAACCGTACACTCTGCTCCTCGCAAGACCTCCTACTCTCTAGCTCCCTTATCTCATCCTCCCATGCTCGTCTCCAAGATTTCTCCAGGGCGTCACCCATCCTCTGGAACTCCCAACCCCAATCTATCAGACTATCACCTACTCTACTTACCTTTAGGCGATCATTAAAAACCTATCTCTTCAGGGAAGCCTATCCCGCCCTCTGCTAATACTGGAATCCTCTACGCTTCCAACCACTCCATCCCCCACAGTTTTACCTATTGTACCACTCACCCCTCCCTGCTAGATTGTAAGCTCCAAGTAGCAGGGCCCTCAATTCCCTCTTGTATTGAACTGTATTGTTACTGTATTGTCTCCCACTAGCGCATTGAGGTTGGCTTGTAAATTGAAGACATTCTGTAAGGACGTTATTCCACTGCACAGCTTGGTGTCATCTGAAAAGACTGAAATGGGATTTTTAATCCCAGATCCTATATAGTTTATAAATATATTAAGTAATGGTCCGAACACTGAACCTTGGGGTACACCACTGACAACCCTAAACCATTCAGAGTATGAATCATTAACCACTACTCTCTAAATATGATCTTTTAGCCAGTTTTCTATTCATTTACATATGGATTTTTCCAAGCCTGTAGACTTTACCTTACACATTAGCCATGTGTGGGGAACTGTGTCAAACGCTTTTGCAAAATCCAAGTATTCCACGTCCACCGCCACCACTCTGTCCAAGGTTTTGCTCACCTCCTCATAAAAAGAAATCAGATTTGTTTGAAAACTTCTGTCTTTCATGAATCCATGCTGTCTGTTGCTTAAAATATTTTTTTCCAGCACCTTTTCTCATCAGCAGTTAGAGCAGTCTTGTGACTTCTGTCAGTGTCCAGCAGAGCACGTTAAAGCTTGTAAGAGGAGTTTTCAGTTTGCTCTAGGAGGATGCAGAACCCCTGACCTCTGTATGGATAGTGCTGATTGGCCCTGTGCTGATCACATGCAATCTCCTAAGAAAAAAAAAAACCTTTCCAGCAATACACACCAAACTTAGCACGTGCAGAGTGACTCCACATGATATGTCTTATCAGGAGACAAGAAGGGACACTGGAAGAAGAGGAGGATCATAGAAGTCAGAGTCAGGATCAAACAGCCTTTTTACACAATGTGGAGGATTAACCCCTTAGGTTCAACAATAAGTATGACAAGCATTCTTTACTGCAAATACAGACCGATTACACTGTTGTGGGTTTAGGAACACTTTAATCCTGGCGCTATGTTTTAATGTTATATTTATCATTACAGGTCATGCCTGCATGTTTATAGTTGGATATGTAGTTCTATTTATTTGTTATATTGTATTCTTTTATGTAAAATATAAAATATTTGAAAACTGAAGTCAGGAGAGGTTAATTTGGTGCTACTACATTTAAAAAGGGTGTTCAGCTGGGTATAGGACCTAAAGTAAAAAAAAAAAAAAAAAAAAAACCTTACTGCTTCCAAATGCTGCTAATTAAAAAAAACACAAATTTCCAGAGGTAATGTATTCACTACCTGATAATGTTGTTCAAACTTGTCCATGTTCAATTTGTCAGCAGTTCATCTAAAGATTGCCAAATGCCCTGAAGACGAACATTACTGAATTTTGGTGGGCTGAAATTGTTGCACTCCCTCAGCTATATTTATTTTATTTGAGGCACTTATAAAGAACTGTCAATTTACCCTGTGCTTTTCCATGTGTTGTACATG